ACATTGTATATAAAGCTATATGTAATTAGCAATTGAATTATTGCATTGATTCTATTAAAATTATAATATTCAAACTAGAAATTGCATTTAATCAACTTGGACTATTACTATCATTAATTTAGAAGCTGTAATAGGTTTGGCATTAAAACCACTCAGTACTTTCTGCTGTGAAAGTTTCTGTTTGCCATATGGGGCCTGCAGAGTTTAAATTCTTACAATTTATGTTATCAGTACCTCAGACACCATAAAACTGCCACAAATATCCCAATATTGCAGGTGATTGGGTGTGATCTGCTACTGGGGGAAGATTATGGACAGTTCAGATTCTCAGATACTATCAAAGCTTCCCCTGTCACTTCCCCTGGAATTGCTTTCCAGGTGTGGAAACCAGCACTGAGCTGCTGAGGGATGTTTAGCCTGAAATGGGACCTAAACCCACAATTTTTGATCACCTAGAGTGTAATCTCCATATCCAGTGCCATTCCTGCCAACCATGGGCGAGTTTTCCCCTTTCACAATACCAAGAGGCCCTAGGTTGGTTTTGTACTTAAAGGGGTGAATATTCCCTGCTCCTTTAGCACAAAGAGCAGCAACAAATGGGTATTTAGGCTTTGCATGAAGCTCTAGCTAAGCCCTGGAGAGCCAAGCAGAGCTTTACCTCTACTTTTTTTTTAAACGGGACCTTTTCTTCTTTCTTTTCCATTCAAATTTTATCTATCCTTTAATAATTAAAAAAACCCCAATCCAACAAACTCAAACCTTTCAGGCAAACTTCTTTCCAGCTCAGCCCCCATTACCTCTCCTGTTTCAGCATCACCACCTCTTCCTCTGTCTGGCTCAGGAGAGCTTTGAGTGTCTCCAGCTCACTCTCTGCCCTCCCAGTTCTTCTCTTCAGATCCTCTTCCTTCCTTTCCTTCTCAGCCACTTCCTCCTGTAAATGTTTGCAGACTTGTTGGCAAATCAGAAGGGATTCTTCCTTCTCCTTGAGCTCTTTTGTGAGCCTACAGATGAGATATTGAAGTGTCAGCATGGTAGTGACTATGTTTGTTTATAGACAGAAAGAATTAGTACCTGGACAATTAAATATCAGTCAGACCACTATGAATTCCTTATGAAGTTCAATCTAGTGACTTGAGCACCAAAACAGAACCAAATGATGGAATAAAACCTGGATTGTGAGCTCTCACTGCTCAGAAATGTCTGTTCCGTTCTGAAATACCATTTCAGCTTTACCTTGACTCAGAAATTCCATTTTCATATTTCATCTTCTTCAGTTCATTTTGACAGACATCAAGCTCTGTTGATTTCACCCTAAAACACATTGAAAAGAGTCTATTATCCAAAGATAATAATTGCTTTTACTCCTTGCAACAGCCTGGACATCACTTCCAGGTGTGTTATCCAACTTGCATTTCCTGTTTCAGTTAAAAAGCCACAAACAGAAAGTTCTTTCAGCTCCAACTAAGATGCTCAGTAACTGGAATTTACACTTCCAATGTCACCTCAACCTGAACAGGATCACAAACGTTGCAAACTAATGAGATCTTGCCACACTGATGGAAGTTTTGAGTAAAACATGAACAGGAATGATCAAATACCAATTTAGTACTTGGTATTTAGTAATTTACCTACCAAATTGGTAGGTAAAAGGGCTGGAAACTTCTCAGATTTCATGCCATGATGTCATTCTTTCATCAGTTAATAACCATGGTTAAGCTTCATATTTACATTTAAACAGCTAGAGAATATGTTATTTTATTAAACTGTGCCCACATTGCATTGAAATCTTACTATTCCGTTTGGAAAGCTTTCACTGTTTGTTTCACTGCGCTCATGACATCCTTTTTTTTTGTACTCAATCCTTACATTAGCCCTGAAATCTCCTGTTGCTAAGCATTCCAAATATTTGCAACTTCCTTCTGGTCAGACCCTGTGAACGTAGGGACCAAAACCAGCAAGGACACAGCAGAACAGGTTGAATCCTAGTTTAAATTGCAGGGGGACACAGGAAGAGGCTCCTGACAGCTGCTCTGGAGACTGCCAGTAGCAGTTCCTTACCCTTGAGCTTAAGCTCAAGCTTATTTCAAGCAGGAACTAGGCTGAAGGTGGAACAAGCTGAGTTTCACTCTGTGTGTCTTCGCTCTTCAGTCATCTGCAGTTGGCTCCAACAAGGATCTGATCACACTCTATTTCTGATGGCAGTCTATTTTTGACATCCTATTTTTGATGACAGTCTATTTTTGCTCCATTAATTTAGGTTCTGCCTACACTTACTTGAAACCACAGGCGTGACACAGGGAAATTACCAGCACAGTAGCAAACTGGTGAGTGGGGAAGAGTCACAGCCAATTTATTCTTGGGGGCACATAAAGAAAGAAATCATAGTCACTGGTTAAATACTGAGGTTTGTGATTAGCTTAGTTGTAATAAAACCTTCCATATCAAACTTACAGCATGAAATCATAGAATCATCATGGAATGGTTTGGGTTGGAAGGACACTGAAGATCAATCTTGTTCCACCCCCTGCCACGTGCAGGGACATTTCCCACTAGCCCAGGTTGCTCCAAGCCCCATCCAACCTGGCCTGGAACACTTCCAGGGATGGAACAGCCACAGCTTCTCTGGGCAACCTGTGCCAGTGCCTCAGCACCCTCACAATCCTTCCCAATATCCCATCTAACCTCACTCTGGCAGCATGAAGCCATTCCCCCTTGTTCTATCACTACACTACACAGTAAAAATATGACTTTCCACATACACTTTTAGTCCTGAAGTTCTGTGGATTTCCCAAAATGCATCATCCTCCACTGCTGTGTTAGATGAAGCCTTGGACCAGGCTGACTTGCCCCTCCTCTGCTGCACCATTAGTCCCAGCTTGAGGACATCAGCCCTGCTCCCATCATTTAATATGAAGATAAAATATTCTTTCTGGTAGTAAAAATATGACTTTCCACATACACTTTTAGTCCTGAAGTTCTGTGGATTTCCCAAAATGCATCATCCTCCACTGCTGTGTTAGATGAAGCCTTGGACCAGGCTGACTTGCCCCTCCTCTGCTGCACCATTAGTCCCAGCTTGAGGACATCAGCCCTGCTCCCATCATTTAATATGAAGATAAAATATTCTTTCTGGTGGTCAAAACCTTCTCAAACCATCACGACAAGCAGCACTTGCTGAAATAAGTGCTGTGACGCAGCTTTCTGTACAGTGGCAAAGCAATCAAGCAAACACCCTTACATTAACAGCTTCTTGTAGTGGTCCATCTCTGCTGTCACCTTCTGCAGCTGCAGCCCAGTGGTCTCCACTCGATTTGTTAAATCTGCAAATGCAAATATGGCTTTAAAGTCTCGATTCATACTGAAACAATTCACTTTTATCCATACTGTGGTTCATTTCCACCTCAGACCCGCAGTTCCTCAGTCCCACCTCCAACAGGCACGCAGTGCACAGAGCATCACCTCCAAACCACATCTGGGTACAGCACAGCTTTAGGAGCTGTAAGATTCGAGTTCATTTCTCATTGCTTACAAAACATAAACCAGTTGCTTACATGTCATTAATACTAAATGGCTTTAAATGAAAAGGTTGGGATGTTTGGCATTCTGCACAGTTCAGAACACCCTTCCAGTTTCTACTCACACGTGAGCAAGGATTGTCTTTGGAGCAAAGATTGTCATTACAGCAAAGATTATCTTTAGAGCAAGAACCTGTTCTTTTTTGTTTGGTTGGGTTTTTTAAATCCTACTAGAAAACAATGAATTCTCCTAAATGTTAATATGAAATGCTGTAAATCATGTGGTTTATACATAATGCTCAGAGCAAAATCATGCAGGAAGGTAGACCCAAAAATCACCTGCAATGTTACTTCACCTAAAACTTTGACACTTTTTTAATGGTGTCATGTGCTTAACTTAGCAAACTTAGCCTAACTTATCCTCTCTTAGCTAAATGTTATCTTTCAGAACCTCTCAGCTACAATCAGCCATTGCCTGTTACCCAGGATAGATCTGCACTGGGTCTAGCTAAGAGGGAGTTCATTTTTCCCCATTCCCCAATTGTTTTCGTCTCTACTATTGGTTTAATTATCTTTTTTTTCTCCTCCACTTGAAAATAAAACCTTTCCAAGTAAGAAAAGTAAGCAAAGACAAAAGAACTGTTACTATCCATCCTTCTGCAGCCTCATGGAAGTGCAGGAGTGACAGATTTCCTCCCAGTAGAGCACGTGGCACTTGCATGATTAGATACACCCTGTGAGTAAGGCAAAGCTCTGCAAACACAGTGTTGCCCTGTACACCCAGCACAGCACCAAGCACTGTTACACACAGGTTACAAGCGCTTGCTGTGCAAAACTCCAGGCTGCTGAGAACAGAACAAGTCCTTCCCCAAGGGCAGCTCAACCTATTTGCTCACAGGGGAAAGGGAATTCTCAGAGCTCAAAGTCCCTCAGTGACATGGACCAAACTGTTTGTCTCAAAGAATGCAGGAACAAGCAATTCAGAGTTCACAACCTTCTCAAGTGGTTTTATAGCAAAGAAATCTCATCTGGGTTCGTGTGTCTTAATGTCATCCTGTTTTATTCTTTTGCATCCTAAGCATAGTCATAACTTGAAGATTTGAAGCCCTAGAAACAGGATGTACCTTAATCTGATACTTGTCTTCATGAACATATCATAGAATCACAGCATGATTTGGCTTGGAAGGATCTCAAAGCTCATCTCATTCCACCCCCTGCCATGGGCAGGGACACCTTCCACTAGTCCAGGTGGCCCCAAGCCCCATCCAACCTGGCCTGGAACATTCCAGGGATGGAGCAGCCACAGCTCCTCGAGCATATCTAAATATGCTCATGAAGAAGATTTGCCTTCCAAGTAAACATAAGAATTACTTGAAACCAAAGTTTATACCAAAAAGGCAACACTATAAAGTATGTAGGACAAAAACGTGATGAATCATAGCAACAAATCTAAAGTGAAAGGAAAACCACGATTTCCCCTCAAATGCAGCAGCAAAACAAGTGAGGTGACCTCCCTGAAGGGAACAGCTACAAACACAGTCCAACCTCTTTGCCTCCAGAGCTCTCTGATGTGTCTTCCCAGAAGACAAATCCAATTCCTGTCCTTAAACTTATAATTTCTGACATTACAACTCACTGAATTTTTGTAACTTTTCCCACATTCCTATTTCAGTCATTTCCAGCCACTACCATGGTGCTGGTTAATCCCAGGGGGAATTTCCTGCCAGCAACCCCCCATGCCACACC